TGTTCTGCCGTGCTTAATTCGTGGGTACGAATTTATTTTTATTATTGAAATGCATGAAAAGCTAATTTTGTGTCGATATTCTACGCTTATAATCCCTGCATTTATCAATTACTTCCTTTTCCTGATACAAAATATTCGAATATGCTTCCTTGCAGCCGTACAAAAGCTACAAAGCGCATGACATTTGTTTAAAAAAGCTGTTCTATCCTGTTTTTGCTATTATAGATTGTTTAACACTAATTCATAATCCCTCCTACAATCCAACCTTACAAAGACATCAGATAACGATCAGCTTGTCTAGTCATCCTCTTCCTTCCAGCAAATTAGCATATAAAGGCATTGACGTATGATATAAAGCCTCGTCCTTTTCTCCTTCAAAACCTTGGGTCCCAGCACATGAATTCTGGCCTTCCTTTGCCTGGATGTAACAGACATGGCCATGAATGTAAGTTTGTGTTCTCCGCCAAGTTGAATATACCCCTGTGAGGAAACTGTTAGTTTTTCTTTTTGTAGACAGCTTTTTAACTAAAGTTATATTCTCTGTGAAGTTGATTATATATTGTGTGGCACTGAAAGTCCAAAGACTGATATGTCTCACACTTTTGGCAATGAATGTGGGGGCCCTTTTTCCTGTTTTCAGGGGCTGTTTTTTCTGTAAGGTGGCCATTTAACCTGTTTCCTGGTAAATTGCCCCTGCCTTTTTTCTCTTTTCTGGTTTTGGGACTCACCTTTACTTATCATTCTAGGAGTTATCTGATGGCCCATTTTACATATACCTTGGCCAAAAACAGTTTGTTACAAAGGTGCACACCTAAATTAGGGAGGAGTGCATTTGCATTAATTTGAAAGTAATCATAAATGTGTAAGTACTTATGCCCTGCATGGTTGTCACTTTTCTTGTGGTGATAATTAATGTTTTGAACCGAAAGTTTAAGCTCATTTCCAATGCATAATTATGGTGATTTTTGTTATTTTACATGCTGTTATCGTTTTGAGTGACAATACAGACTTTGTTTTTGCCTTGTGTCCAATATTTTTGAATCTGTATATATATTTTTTTTTTTTGGTTTTTCTTGCTTTTATTTTTATTTAGTGTATTTATTTTTTATTTTATTTTTACTCGGAAGCTCTGATGATGAAGTTGACATATTGATCTATCGTTCCAATTTCTGAAATGCACTGCCGGTTAGCGGTGCGGTAAGTGGAGTTGAAGGGACAACTGAGGAGCTTCTAATCTCTTTTTATGCAGTATTTCATTTCCATTTCTTGTCTTCTATGCATTATTTTTTTCTGGCCCTTAAAGTTGACAAATATATTAAAGAGGAAATTACATCCTCCACTGCTCATTAACATTTTTATTACATATTTACAACTCATATATATTTATTTGCAAATTAACTAAAACTATCATATTTATTTGCAAACATACTAGATTATTGAGTAACAGATAATTGTTTTTAAATATGGTAAAAGTAGATTTAATGGGATCTTAATTATACGACGCTCTCTCTTTTCCCTTCTCTATTCTTCTTCTCTCTCTCTCTCTCATCTTTTTCTTCTTCTTCTTCTTCTACAATTTGCTGCTACTCTCCTCCCCCCACCGCTCCTTCGCCGCTCTGCCTCCGCCCACCTAGTCATCCCCGTCGCTGACCGCCTAATCTCCATCGGTTGGATACGTTTTTCTACTTGCGGTTTGATGTTTGATGGGCAAATTTCATTAATCTATCCATTTTTGTTACCCATTATAATTTTGTTACATTTCCTGTAGTTTTTACTCTTGCAATTGTTCTTCGCAATTCCATTTTTGTTCGTAGCAACAATTGATTTAAGGTATACAGCAAAATTGATTATCTACATGAAGAAACCTTGAACTTTATTGATATCTTAATTAATTACGAACATATTATGCCAATTAACTACTTTTTGGCCACCATCTTTTTACATGATAGCCGCCAATACATGGATCCTACCAAGCGTTAGAGGTGATGGGCCAGAACCGAGAGAAGGGCACAGAGCGGTTCTTATTGGTAAAGGCTCTTTATTTTGGTGGATGTGGCAAATCAGTGAACAGTGAGATCTACTATGATGATCTTTGCATATTAAACACCGGTGAGTACTTTGTGCTTTGTGAAGCAAAGTTACCTTTAGTTTGAAGAAAGTCAATATCAGATAAAACCCTAACAAATTATTCGTTATATGTTTTGGTATATGTAGCGTGTATAGGCAGTATATGTCCAATATATGTACATTTTAAGGATATGTACAGTTATTGTACATCTGAGCATATGTTTGGTATATTAGTTATGTACATTTGTAAATGGATTTTTTTTTATTTTTTATTTTTTGCTGTTTTCAATGTTTATTCATAGTTTATGTTTAGTATATTAGAAGATTTTTTGTTGAAAACGAAATTGACAAAGGAGCAATTTGTTGTTTTTTGTTGTTTTGTGTATTAGAAGATTATTGCAACATTTATCGAATATAAGTAACTTGTTATAATATGTTTATAAGCTATATATATATATACTTTTATGCTTTTTATTTTTTATGGATTTGTTGTGTATATGTGTTGTTTATTTAACTGTTTATAAAGAATAAAAGAAAAATACACAATACGTAAAAAAACATATATCTTTACAAACAAACAAGAAGACATATTTTTTGTTGGAAGACATGTTTTTTATTGCAACATACTGAATATATACTGACTTAAACGCAACATATACCCCACCTGGACAGCTGCGTGAATTGCAATACATCTTTTATCTCTCTCCATTAAAAACGTACAAACTGCGCGAATAAGGAATTAAATGAATTAGTCATTTATTATATGTATGTTTTTCATTTATCTCTCTTAATCAAGCTCATAAAAAGAGGGATGGAGGTTTGAATGGATATGGTAACTGACTTCTTTAGGCATTAATGTAGTTATATATTCTTTATTAAGTAGAGATGTAATTATTTGTTTATGGATTGTATTTTTGCAATATTTTCAGAATCTTGTAGGATAGATGAAAATTTCTCTATATCAAATGCTACTTCACCTGCATAAGAATGCAGATAATGATCTTTCTAGTTTATTCAGTTTATACTTTATAGTATTGAGTTTCCATTAGTGCTCGTCTACTACCCTGGGCGTTCTCTTTGGAAATTAGCATTAGACCATCTCTTGTCTTTATCACTAATTTAGTATAGAGAATAGTAGAATTAAACAAAAAACAAATTTTATCTCAGTCGTTCGCACTACATTTTACTATACACATTTAACTATTTAAATTAGTATTATATAAATTAATAAATAAATAAATAAATACAAACATATTTTTATAAATTTACTAAGACATGTATCAAGTATTTATTAAAATATTTACTAAGATTGAATAAAATTTTTAATTTATTATTTAATCCGTAGAAAATAAATTTATTATTTTACTTATAGTGATATTATTTGTCAAACTATTTATCACATATTAATAAATTACACATTTTTCTCTATTATAAATAATTTTTTTAGAAAATATGTATTATGTTGATTATAGAGTATTTTTATAAGGTGTATTTTAACTTTAATAAAATATATTTTTATATTATTTAATTTATTTTTTAGTGAATTAAAATATTTTTTTAAAATTATACTAAAAATATAAAAACAAAAAAAAAAAAGATAAAAATAAGCCTGCACGTATATTGTTGCTTCGTGTTCTAAGAGTTAAAAAATAAAAAATGTATGTAGCACAATGGAGCAGCGGTGGAGATGCACTTGAGATATAGACTCAACACAACTCTACCAACCAACTTATTGTGAGAAAAATATTTCTCTGAAAAAATTCATAATTTTGTTTCTTAGTAAATATATGATACTGAGATAATAAAAGGTCATTCTTATTTCCTAAGAATAATATTGCCTTTTGATTGAAGAGTATCTTCATTTTACGACGATGGTCCCATACAGGTTTTGGTCTATATTTTTGGTTTGCCATTTTAGCTCAACTATTTTTAAAACAATCCAAACATTTTTAACTCAACTATTTTTTTTTTAAGTTAATTTTAACTCAACCTCACTATCATCAATATTATCAATATAATTAAATAATATCAATCAATCATTTTTACCTACCACAGCAATTTTATTTTATTATTCATCCACTCACATAATTTTAACTAACCATCACTTCAAATCATCTCAATCATATTTTTACATTAAATCAACTTTAATTATTTTATTTTAAATATTATTTTAATATAGTTTTAATATCACTAAATGGCCATAAAAATTTACAAAACATGAATTAGCCATATTTTGTAAAAAAGATGAATTTTAGCAAAAAGGCTTCCACAAGAATTTGAAATCGAACAAAATTTTTCTGAGCAAATGAATTGCCGAAAACTTGGAATAATTTAAGTAGACGAGGACATCTACATAAATTATTTAACTTATTGGAAAAAAAAGATGAGGACATCCAAATAATCCTAAGAAACTTAGTAAATTTAGTCGAGCTTAAAATGAATGCAATGCAATGAACTCAGAACTAAGATAAAATGAACTAACTTTTATTAATCGAATGGGGCACTACACACCCACCATACATAGCCTGCCTACACCACCACCACAACGCCCAAGTCGTCCGACCAACACCAAGGCTAACACTGAACACACCATGGTTGTCTAACAAACATTTTACAACCCCAAACACAATCCACCCCTAGAAAGACAAACACACAAACTACCTCAAACTACAACAACATCTTCAAACTCCAACCCACTCTAACCTTGCTTCATCTGCAGTCCCTTTCTCATAAAGCCACTCTTGCCTGAAAATCCAACTATCCCGAGTCTTCCATAGTCACCACAACACAATATATAGGTTGATAAAGTTATCTTGTCGACCTTCACCCCACAAATCCTCTCTAGTAAGCATATTCCTTGCCACCAATCTTTGAATACCCCTCCTTTTCTGACAAGTCACCTCTGATAGTTTCCACTCAGTCTTGGCCCACCTATGGCACTTGAAGAAGAAGATGTGCTCCTGAGTTTCCTCTTCCTCTCCACACAATCTGCAGATAGCCTCTATCCTCATTCCTGTTCCCCTTAGTTGGTCCTGAGATGCTACAAACCCATGATAGCATCACTTTAAGTTTGTTTTTCACCTTCAAATCCCAAGTTTTCTTCCAAATCTTTGTCTGCAGCTACTTGTGAAAGTTGAAGATTTTTTTGCATGACAAAATACACCAACTTGGTAGAGAAATTTCATATTTTGTTATGGTGCCATAGCCTTAACTGACCTTGGGCAGAAGGTTTGCTCAATTAACCCATAAGAACTCATAAACTCTCATACTTTACTGAACCTACACCTATCCTCTTCAAACCTACAGTATGGAACAAAGTTTGAGACCTTTGGCAACCGAAGAGAGTCTAAAATTGCGATAGACAACTCATCCCCCACCTATTATGAAAGTATCCCCCTAAGATTCAATTGTCCCGCCAATCTAATTTCAATAAGGTTATTAGTCACCTTTAATAAAACGAATTTGTGAAATCAGACATCTTCTCGTCTCTTCTTTTGGTAACCATGAAGAAGTCATCCATACTTTTAATAATTGTTTATCGCTCAAGGGTCTAAACTGCTCCTTATTGTACAATTTGTTTCGTAATAAAGGTGAAAAAAATTTTAATTTTGTACTTGGCTTGGTGTTTAAGATAGATTGGCCTCTTTGAATAACCTCATTTTCTTAGATATTGATCAAACTTGTAAGTTATGCTCCCTTAGTGAAGAATCTGTTGCTCATCTGTTCTTTTAAAGTGGTTTGGGATTTAGTCGGTCGATGGCTAAATTTCAAACACTCTATGACCTCTATCGCTAGTGTTATTAAATGGATTAAAAAAAGAAAAAGGAGGGGCGGTAATGCTTAAGGCCAGGAAGGTCTCTTTATGTTGCAGCATCTATCATATTTGGAAGGCTCGAAATGCTTTTATTTTTGACGGAACAAAGTTATTTTTGCTAAAATTCAGAATCAAGTTTATAAGTTATTTTTGACGCCATTACTTTCTAGATTATAGTTTCTGTTTCCTCTTCTTTGCCTTTATTCTTTTAGGTATTTCCCTATTTGCTTGGGTTAGTAACTCAAAAGGGGTTTCCTTCACCCATCCTTTGAACTTTATTCTTTTTTTTTTTACTTGTGCAGGTTTGGACATGGACAAGTTTTTGGCTGGGACTTTTTGGCCTACGGAACCACCATTCTTAAAGTTGTTTGGATGGATTACCCACTTTGAAATCATGTATAAAGACCATTACCGTTTGTATGGATCGTTGGTGTCTTTTTAGCTGGAGTATTGGTCCTTGAGCAGAAGTTTATGTTCTTTCCTAATTAGAGATGCTTGGGTGTGTAGTTGCTGAAACTTTAGTCTTTTGCACCTTCAGCAGGCATGTATATATGTCTATTTTTAGAGTTGCTTGGGTGTTTTTTGTTAGGCACCAAGGTTTAGGTTTATACTGAAACCTTTGTCTTTTTCTTTGTCCCTTTTCGCCTTTTTAGCTTTTGAAATGTACACTTTTTCTTGTCACTTCAAATTGTCCCGGGTATCTAATTTCAATATTTTGAAATTTAACTCTTAAATGATGTTGAAATTTACCTTTATTTTAAAACATGCATTCCACAACCCTACCATCAGTTGGAAAACGACGTGAGGGGGAGCGTGTGAGACTGCGAAAAAAAGACTCGAGCAACGGAATGGAAACAATTGAAGTATTTATGGTCGCTCGAAAAGTACATCTTTACAATAAATTGAAGTATTTACTATTTATGGTCACTTGAGAAGTACAACTTAAATCAATAACTAGCAGTGTTGAACATCTTCGAACCAATCTAAATTAAGCTTACAAATAAGATCTTTTAGTCCCTTGCCAAAAACCCGTAACATTTCTCAAAATTTCTAACTAATGTTATTATTGTTTAAGCATCAAGAAGTTAAAATGGACGAAAAAATAAAATTTTATGTTAAAATTTCAATTCCAAACCAACCGAGATGAGTCATAAATGTAGTGAGTCGTACTCAACAACAAACAATGTAACACAAAACACTGCAAATCACGGGAACTGGAAGGAACCCCCGATTTGGGTATTGCCGGATGGGGGTGAAATAGCAACCCACAAGAGCGATATAGTAATGGCAATGAGGCCAGACCAAACAAAGACGATGGTGGGGGTCCTCCCTCGTCTCCCCATGAGGCCCTTGGCAAAGGGGTAAAGATGGGCCAACACCCAAAAGCTAAAGAAGACGCCCCCGAGCAATCGACTCCACTGGGGTATCGTGCTGTATATCGTGCGGCTAAACCCCACGGCTATCGCTATCAAATTAGTGATCATGATGGTGATGGGTGGAATCATAAGGGACGTCCACTTGAGTATGTAGAGATCCGCAAAGTCGTCGTCCACGTCATCGCCGGCCGACTTGGACGTGAGCGTGAAGGAAATCTCGATCCCAGCAACCACCTTTAGCAGGCCTTGCAAAACGGCCGCGAGGTGGGCGCTCGTGCCTCCAATCAGCCAGAACTGCTCGTTCCTCCACCACTCCTCCAGGTTTATGCCCGACCACTTGATCTCGAGCACGGCCAGCGCGCAGAGCGTTAGCGTGATAACGAGGAGGTAGGTGAGGAAGGTGACGTTCAAGGTCTGGACTATGAACTGGCCGGAGAAGAGGGAGAGGGCCGGGAGGAAGCAGTAGACGATGAGGAACAAGGACGTGAAGGGGTAGATGCCGACGTTGAGGTACGCGACCCTCTGGAGAAACTTAATGCGAGGAGACGCGAGCAGGGCGTTGTTGCGGGAGAAGAAGATCTCGACGGAGCCCGTAGCCCAGCGCAGCACCTGGTGAAGCCGGTCGGTCAAGTTGATCGGGGCCGTGCCCCGGAAGGCGTCCCTCTTGGTGACGCAGTATATGGAGCGCCAGCCGCGGTTGTGCATACGGTAGCCCGTCACCACGTCCTCCGTCACCGACCCGTAGATCCACCCCACGCGGTTGCCCCACTCCGTCTTGTCCTCGTACCAGCACGAGATCACGCTTATGGCCTCCGCCACCGTGGACGCGTCGAGGAGCTCCCGGGGGATCGTCAGTGCGCCGGGAGGCCGTCCGTTCTTCACGGCCGGGTGATCCGCGAGCGGGCGGCCCTGGAATTCGGCGACGGGGATCGAGTCGATCAGGAAGCTCGAGTTGCCGAACCTCTTGGAGAAAAGGGAGGGGTTCATGGCACCTTCTTCGTCGTCCATGCGGAGGGCTCGGTGCTCCTCGGGAGCAGAGTTGTGGGGCCGACGGCGGGTAAAGAGGCTGCAGCAGCAGCCCGAGTGGTCTTTGGAGCGCGGGGGATCGAAACCGTACAACGCGGTGCGGCGGAAGAGGCAGCCAGTGCCGACATAGACGGGGCCCTGGAGCCCGTCGAGAGCCCGCATGTTGACATCGAAGAAGACGGTGTTGTGGTTGGCATAGCGGTCCGAGGGGTCGATGCCCTCGAAGCGCTGGGGGAACTGGACGTAGCAGATGCGGTCGCCGCCGCGGTCCATCATGAAGCACATGCCCTCGCGTATGGCTTGCGAGTTGTAGATGTAGTGGTCGCAGTCGAGGTTGAGGATGAAGGGCCCGTTGGACATGATAGCCGAGGCCCGCACGAGGGCGTTCATGGCACCGGCCTTCTTGTTGTGGTCGTAACCGGGACGCTTCTCGCGAGATACGTACACTAGCATCGGCAGCCGAATGTCGACCTCTGTGAAATCTAGTGGGCTGCTTTCAGGGGTACCTTGCAGAGGCTCATCGCTTGGGGGTTTCAGCATCACCTGCAGTTCAACAGGGTACTTAATGAGCCATCATCAGGGTACTTAGGAATACAAGGTACTTGTGCACCAAAACTTTTCTCCGATATGAAAAAACAACAACAGTTAGAAACTTAGAATAAAGCTAAACAAAATTTAATGCCCCAGATAAAGTTTCAGGTATTATGACTCACCTAAACCAGCACCATCACAGTTGTCAAACAACATAACTGCAACTGATTTGGATCTCATCATATTTTCTAAGAAATTGTAAAACTAACAAGTTTGCAACAAGCTGGGACGAAAAGAAGACAACAGGTGTCCCACATATATCATACAACCATGCAATGCATAATTCCCCCACATCAAATCAAATATAAATTAAAATGGTAAGTGGGGAGATTAAACCATGACGTGTAATTTCATGTCGAAATCAACACATAAATGGCCATCAGGAAAATCAAGACTAAGTTGAGGTAGTTATGAGATATACCTGTATAATACCTGCATGGTCTCCCTTAGAGTGTTCAGGGCCAGAAACCATCCAAGTGCCAGGCCAGTGTGTTCCGTCTGCCATCCAAGTTGCTTTAGACACCTTCAGAGGCTCCAGTGCCTCATCCTCAACAACAGTCTGCCTGCGAAGCTTCATGGCCTTGATCTCTTCCCGAGCATTATACGCATCCGACCGGCGACGGATCGAGTCAGGAAGACTGTTTATCCGAACCTTGAACTCATCATACTCACGCTTGACCCGCCTACGGTCCTTGACGAAATCCTGACGCACCTTATTCTTGAAAGGGTCCTTCTTCAGGCTGAAGTAAGATTCCGGATTTCTAGGCTCGATATCATGTTTCCGGCAGAACGGGACCCAAAGGTTCGCGAAACTTGCAGCCTCAGCCATGGCCTCAAATGTCAGGAGGGCGCCCCCATCATCTGAGACGTAGCACGAGAGCTTCTCGACTGGGTAGTCGGAAGCAAGAATAGAGAGAATTGTGTTTGCAGTCACTAATGGGGGTTCCTTTTCAGGGTCAGCAGTAGAGACGAATATGTCTACGCCTGGGAGATCGGATTTCCCTGTGGGATTAGCCGGGCTCGGCGTTTCGAACTTATCTTTCAGCACATTGAGATCGGTCGCGCGGTTGATTGGGCATAATTTGGGCAGCTGGTCGAGCAACCAAGAGAAGGCAAACCAGATTTCACATACGACGGACATGAACCACAACCATCTGGCATCCTCATTCGGGTGGCTAACTCTCCATGCCAGAAATAGTCCGAGAACAGCCATACGGACAAAGATTAAGAGCCTGCTTGAATGCAAATTATGCTTGTCAGATGTTAGAAAAGCTTTAATTCAAACCTTTGGACAACACACAGGTACACACAAACGCAAGAAAACGAGAAAGAACAAAAAGAAGGGCTGGGACAAATTTAATCTTCAACAGGTAACAAATTAGCCCATACAGTAGCATCAGCGAGCAGAGCAGTCATATGCCAAAAAATATTTAGGAACAGTTCATTTTGACTTTATAGCATATTATTAAATGAAACTTAAATTGTATGCTTCAACAAAATAATCTCTGCAGTGAATCATGATGTTTTCCGGACAACAACCATTTGCCGTAAATTTTTTCTCTTTCTAAGATATTCCAAAAGGGCGATCTAAAAACTATTAGGCGTTAGAGACATTTTACATTGTTATGCAACTTAAATCATATAGTTAAATTGGTAGCTAAAATAATTTCAGCTATTTAGGCCAGCTGCTAATTAGCTAGGAAGAGAATGGATAGCTATCTTTTCATTACACTGTATGTGCAAATAAAATATAGAGTATATTAGCTTTTGAATTCTCAACTAGCTAAAATAAGTAAAATGCATGGGCTCAACATTACTAGCAGTCATGAGGTTCATCCATTCACATAAAGTCAGGATATATTGTGCATAACCCAATGGCTTAGCTTTAGCTTACTCAATCACACAAGAAATAGAAAATGAAAATTCAAAAGCAGTTGTACCTATAAGGGCTGAGCACCGCGGCCGGAATCTTCAACTTACGGGTGAGCGGCCTCCACGGCTTTCCCATCATCTCAGGGGGCTGGCCGGAGGACCCTTCACTCTTTTCATCCTCCTTAGGCCATATGGCATTCCCATACCCGTAAGTCCCCTTGGTCTCAAAAAGCCACCTGTTGTGGTCAAAGTCGACCCCTGTCTGGCTCCTCATCAGGCTCGTCGACTTCATCAGCGACAGCCTCCTCTCCATCTTGGACAGCGTGAGCGCTGGCGCAGGCGGGTCAGCAAGCGAGACGTCCGTGTTCTTGTAAGGCTCCTTGCAGCCTGGGCAGATGCCATCCCCTGTCTTGAGGGCATCGTTGAAGCAGTCGCGGCAGATCTTGAAATCGCAGTCACACGGGAGGATATCGGCCCCACGGCCGTCGGTCACGACCTTGCCATCGCAGCCCTGGACGGCGCACGACGAGCCCTTGACGCCGGCCATCTGTGGGTGGCTGGCCTCCGACTCCATCACCTTATCCATGAGGTGGGCACGGGTGACGCTGTTGTAGCCTCCCGTGAAGAGGGAGCTTGACACGTACTGCTCCTCCACCCGCTGGGAGATTGAGTGATCCACCACCATCGGCTGGTTGTCGGGTGTCGGGGGGATGTGGACGGTATATTCGCTCAGCTCTGCGCCCGCGCTTATGTCGCTGTCCATGCTTTCACGGGAGAGGTTTACGTACCGCCCGGAAGACGTACGCCTCGTGAACGTCACACCACGAGACGACTCACTCTGCCTCAACGATCTTTCTGCCATTTTTTTCACCCCAAGCTGGAGAGGGAGGAAAAGGAAATAGTTAGTTAAATCCATCTTCTTTTTTTTTTTTTGGGAAGAGGGACTTGTTAATTTGAAATCTTTGAGCTACATCAAAACATTTTCTCTCTCTCTCTACAACCTTTTTCACTTTTAATCTCTTTTTTTTTTTCTGGATAAGAGAAAAAGGAGCTTGTAAATTCAAATCTTTTACAGACAACGGATCTGAAGTAATCAAGAACAAAGAAAATATTATTACCTGTTTATGAATTGAACAGAGAAGGAGATCAACAACAATACCATCGACCAGATCCTCGTGAAGATCTAAAACCTTAAGAGGACTAGGACCAAATTACGAAACCTGAAAGAGCGAGAAGGAAGCCATATGAAAAACAGAAGTCGGAGGAGGGACTTATTCTGACCAATATAAAAATACTATTACCACTTCAAAACGTGTGAACAAGGAGCACAAACCTAACAAAGGCGTGTAAGAAGAAATTTTCAAACGAAAACACACTTAAAAAGATAGAATAGTTATAGAAGGTAAGAAAATATCGAATTACAATTGTATTAAGTTATTAACAGTGCTTGCTTGAGACGGTCCAAGATTTTGCTCTACAGCTAATTGTTTCTTCCCTACTATATATAAATCCCTTTCACCGAGTTTTCAAAGTAGGTTTTCGCATGTCCAACAAGTAATGATTACTCCCAAAAAGTAAAAAAACCAACAAATCAGCAGTCATCAAACACGTTTAGACAGAGCACACAAAACTTTTCTTTCTCGCCCTACGCCTGCGAGAAAACTTCGGTCTTCACATAAAAAATACAGGAAAGAAAAAGCTGTTAACAATAAGATATAAAAGCACACACAGATTACCGATACGAACGTTCCCGACTATATAAAAGGGGAGAGCGAGAGAAGAGAAACAAAAAGAAGATCTGAATACAACCTTATATATATCTTAAGAAAATCAACAGATCAAGGGATATTTAGCTAGCTTTTCTGTAGTACATGGAAAATTCCCGGAGGCGCTGGCTTCGGAGTTGATGTAAGAGTTGCAGACATCAAAAATAGAAAAGGGAAATTCTTTTCCACTATTTCGTTTTTCAAAATCCAGAACAGAAGACTGCAGCCGGCAGCTGATGATAGTTTATTGGGGGCAAGTATGAACTAATAATTTTATCTTTTCTACTTTTTTCGCCTATATCTACTATATCTCTACTATATACTAGTGAGTATACGTGACGCACTTTTTACTTAAGTTATTTATTAAACCTTTATATTAAATATAGTTATTTATGTTTAACATCTTATTACAATAATAAGAAAAAGAAATATAAAATATAAATATTATATATTATTTATTTGAATATAACGAGTATCTCCAACAAACTAATAACATCCAACACATGATATATAATAAAATTAACTATATGATCGTTGCACTTTTTGAAAATATATATATATAGAGAGAAGGGATCATATGACAATGATAGATGGTGAAAGAAATAAGAATGATTATGGACCATTAAATCAATTATAGCAATGAACATGATGAAGTCAAAGTTGAGTTACAAGGTCAAACATGTAGTGTCAAAATTGTAATTATAGTATTATTACTTAATGTACAAATAATTAACTGGGAAGGCATTTGTGTAATTTCACCAAAAAACTAAATAAGTGGGCCCCACCCATAAAACTCTCCTACCCACAATACTTCTCTCCTCTCTCATCTCTCATTTCTCTCCTCCTATCTCCCCCGATCTATCTCTCGCTCTCTCACGTCCGGGCCTCCGGCCACCTGCCGGCAACTCACAGTCAGGCCGCAGAAGCACACCATCACCGCAACAAGCCCGTTGGTCATGTCGTCGCCGGCGACACACCCGATGCCACCACTGTCATCCGATTCCAGCAACCCATCCAGAGCTCACTGCAAGAATTCCCGACGGCCACAGCAATAGCCGCCGTCGACAAACCTCCACCTCGCCTCCGCCTTCCTCCACCAGTCCGCCGCTTCACATCAGTCGTCCGGTCACAACTAGGGTTGGTATCGGTTCGGTAACCGAACTGATAAGCCCAAACATTTTTTGTAACAATAAAATGCAAAACCGAACCGAAAACCCAGTTCGGTTTCGGTTTTTTACCGAAAAAACCAAAATATCAGCCCCAAGTAAGTACAGATACTTGATGCCCTATTCCTTGTCTTCCTTGTTCTCTGTATGTTCACAGCAAGCAAATAAGCAAGCCCATGCCCAGCAAGTTGCACTTCAATGAAGATATTGAGTATCGAGTGGGGAATTTTGATTTTAAACTTACTTTCACTTATTTTTCTTTTACAAAATTGTGTCCTAACTATTATTTAAAAACTGAAATGTAATTATTATTTGAAAAGTGAGCCTTAGTTTTTAAATAAATATAAAAGCTGATCCTTTATATAGTTATATACTTATATTAATTTTTTTTTTATCCTTATCGGTTCGGTTCGGTTTTACCGATCCCTTATGGGTTCGGAACCGATAACATTTCGGTAACCGATTTTCGGTTATCGTTACAAGCGGTTTGGTTCGGTTCGGTTTGGTTCAATTTTTTGTTTTCGGTACAAAATTACGAGCCCTAGTCACAACAGCCTCGCCTCGCCTCCGCCATTCGCATCTGCCTCCGCCGTCTCCCACATTCTTACAGTCGCAGCAACCTGCCCGTCGCCGCCACTAACATCGTCGCTGACAACATCCCCCACGTCGCCACCTTAAACCAGCGTGCTCTCCGCCACGGTACGCACCAGAGGAGTTGCAAGTCGCCGGCACCAGTAAATACCCCCGCCGCCGCTGCGTCGGCCCTCGCCCGCCGTCACTCAGCCCGTCGCCGCACAGCTCCGCCTTACCGTCGCCCGCCATCACTCAGAGGATTTGCACTTGGAATGAGATTTGTGCGTTTTGAAATTTTGGCCTTTTTAAAAAAAAAATTGATATGTTTGGAGGGTTCAATTGTAATTTTATAAATATTAATAAATTACAATTTAGATCATGGGTTAAATTTATATATTATACACATTTCAATACTTGCACATTAATGTTATGTAAATTGCACTTTAACGATAACTACATTGCACATTAATGTTATATAAAGTGCACATTAATATTTTTATCTAACCTTTTATTTATTTTGGTTGAAAAATTAATATTTTTATTAAAAAAATATTATTATTTCTATAATCTTGTCGGTCCGGTTATTCCGGTTATTAAAAAAAAATAAAGCTGACATTTTATTATAGTTTTTATTGTTTGTGAGGTGTATCATATATTAAACGAAGTGATTTTTTGTTGAACAAATAATTTTTATTTAAATGTGATTGTATGTTTAAGAAAATTAATTTTTCAAAGTTATATGTGCAAATTGGCAGATTTTTTAGAATACTCTTACAACCGATCAGTTCAAATAAGTTAAGAAAATTATTTAAATAATTTGGAAAATATATTTGCAAATTGGAATATGGAGATAGAATCATGTTGTATTTGAAAATATAATTTAGGATTCATGTACTAAATCATTTAGGATTACGCACTAATCAGATGTGATTTTCTTTTATCTGAAAATATAATTGGAAAATATAATCATGTTGTACTAATTAGGATTCACGTACGAATTAAATTGGACTTTATGTGAAAAACGGATATGGGTAAATCTGAATAATCTATTTAGAGATTGAATAAAAACAAACACTACATAATTAAATATGGAATTCCGCCCACGTTTTTAGGATTCACGTACTAATCAGTAATGCATTTAAATCGCATCCAAAAGATTTGAAAAAGTTCTAGACGCGTAACAAAATGGCATGGACGGGATTTAACCAAAAAATTCAAAAAAAAATCCAGAAAAAAGTAAAAAACGAAAAAAAAAGCGGGAAAAAGACATACTATTTTTGTATTTTTTCTTAGGTCTATTATATAGTAATAGATTATATAATGACATGATTGGTATAATGGCATGATTAGTATTATAGAATAAAAATTTTAAAAAATGAAATGAGTTCTAAAATGAAATTAGTATGTAAATAGACTGAAACAAGTTTTTTCATTAGTTTGGTACGAAGGAATAAGACCTAGAATGATATAAAATTTGTAAAAATGAAATGAGTTCTCGAATGGTAGTAGTATGTGAATAGAATGAAACACGTTTTTTCATTTGTTTGGTATGAAGGAATAAGAATTGGAATGACATTATCATTCTATCTTATTTTTTATCATTATTTTATTAAAAAATCTATTTTAATATTTTTACGAATATTATGATAATACTAAAATTATTTATTTTAAAAAATATAACTTATTTTAATAAATATATATTTGAATTGTTACATTCATCTTATATAATAAATAAGTGACTTGTATATGTACATATGCTACGCCTAAAAAAATATACGATTAAGAAAAAGACATGCCCCACGTACAAATCTGTAGCCCAAAGGACGGACAAGGCCCAAAACACAGAATTCATCCTGCGAACAGCTCAAGCAAACACCATTACGGTTGCCGATCACCCACTTTCCAGGAAAGATTGACAATCACCTTTATCGTTTAAGCCCAAATTGGCAAAGATAATAGCATCGCCTGAGCTATCCCGTCCACTTTTGCATAAAAACATGCAGCACCACCTACGCCCCTAACTGGTCTCCGCATTTAATGCGCCATCACTTATTCTCGTATAAATATCGACCCTCAAGTCTGAATCGATACACATAAGCCATTTATCCAACGCCGTCCTCACCATGATTGTATTAGATATCTATTCAAGGAACTGAATCACTTTGATATGTTTAGCTTTTCAACAACTTATTAACCTCTACCTCAATACCTTTATCTATTTTTTCTCCATGGTGTCTACATCTTTGCTTCATTGGTTTCTTTGAAGGGTCTACGTTAAGTTTATGCTCCATTATCTCGGGTTGGATACCCGTCAATTCTTCTAGGGTAAAGGCAAACACATCGCGGAACTCCCTCAGCAAACAAATTAACTGCTCCCTTAGATTTCTTCCAAGTCTTTACCCACTTTTGTGGTTTAGCCCGTCCTGCTTCCAATTTGTATTTCCATTAATTCTCCATGTGGCTCGTGATCACTCCCTCGCCTTCTTTTACCTCTTGCCACGGGCCGCTTTCCTTCTTTAACCTCGACCCTCTGATTTATGCGAATTGCTCTTTGATAGCAAGCTCTCGAGAGTTTTTGATCTCCCTTAGCTTCTCTGACTCGATCACCCACTGGAATTTCAGTTCCATGTGGTAGGTAGATACCTCAGCCTAGAATGTACTAAGTGCGGGCCTTCCCAGAATCACATTGTAAGCCGATTCCACATCCACAAGCACGAACCTGATCAACTTTACTTTCCAAAGATCGCCCTCTCCTAGCACGACCACTAGTGTTACTTCTCACAAGGGAGCTACTTCTGATCCATTAAATCCATTTAGAGCCGTATGGAGTAGTTTAAGTTCGATGTTCAACTCCACCCTCTTAAAACAATCATAGAAAATAATGTTCACTGATCTTTCTCTATCTACAAATGCCCTCTGCACTTCATACCCAGACACTTCTGTTGTCACCATCAAGGCGTCATTATGTGGTCTTTCGATCTCTCCAACATTCGCTGGCCAAAATCCACCATTGGTCCACTTTCAGTGACTTGCAGTACTTCACATCTAGGTTGATGGCCTCTAGCATATGCCTTCCTTGCCAGATTCGAATCTCTATCTGTTGGTCCTCCAAATATCATATGAATTACTCCCTTATTCAGAGGAAGTTCCTCCTTCTCTGGTGGTGACCTCGACCTCTTGTTTTTTTCCTCTCTACATGTGCCTCTCTCCCTATCCTCGTATACGAATCCATTCAAATGTCCCGCTTTTGTAAGTCGTTCAGTCTCATCTTTTAAATGCCTACAATCGTCTGTGTTATGTCCGTAATCCTTGTGAAATCGACAGTACAAGTTGCTCTTGGGCTGGGTAGGCCCTTCCCTCTTGGTCCGTGGCCATCTGATCACGTTCTCATGGATATCTTTTTCCATAACTATCAATATCCTAGCATGAGGAGATGACAAGGGCGTGTACTGAACTGACCTCACCCCTCTGGGAGGTCGACCATCCCACTTATCCGATCTTGGCGAATCTTTTCTGTCTCCTGAAGTGTGGGAAATTTTATTTTTCTTTTCCACCCGCGCCTCAACTTTAGCTAACTTAGCTGCCTACAAAAAAGTCGATCTCTGCTTCTTCTACATTCATATACTTTGTACACCTAGCCAAGACTTCATCGAAGGTGCGACCATGTCGTTTTGTTAAGGAATTTCTACATAGTCCCGGTCGTAACCCTCGAGTTAGTCCTCCTGACTTGATTCATTCTGACACCGAAAGAACGTCAACGCATGCTCGAGTATATCGATCTACGTACTCCCGAAGTGATTCTCCCTCTTTCTGCTGCATCCCGATCAAGGTGAGATAGGTCTTTTCATGCACCTTGACACATGCGAATTGATTGATGAAACTTGAGTTGAATCCTTCAAAGTCCTAAATAGCTCCCGGTAGCAGCTGATGAAACCAATCTTGCACTGACCCTTGTAAAGTGGGTAAGAAAGCTCTACACTGAATGGGATCATTGTATCGATGTAGTACTTCCATTTTCTCAAAGCTCCTCAAATGTCTAGATGGGTCAGTAAATCCGTCATACCACAAATTGAGCTCTCTGAATCCCTGCGGTAAGTCGGCATCTAGTATGTGTAGGGCTGGTAATTTTGTACCGAAAACTGAAAACCGAACTGAACCGAACCAAACAGACAAGAAAAAAAACCGAACCGAACTAAACCGCTTGTAACGGTAACCGAAAATCGGTTACTGAAATGTTATCTGTTCGGTATCGGTTTCGAAACCTTAAAGATTTGGTAAAACCGAACCGAACCGATAAGGATAAAAGAAAATAAAAAATAAAAAACTTAGTAGACTTATAGATATAGTTACAGATTACTTGTTTAGAAATTAGTACTTTAATCTAGTATTTAATATTTTATTAGAGTATTCGTTAATAGTGATTACATTAGGCTCAGTTTTTTTTTTTTTAATTTAATTCATTTTTTTTTTAAATTATGTGAATTATAAACGGCCTTCGCTCATTAACCAAAGAAAGAAAAAAAATTGCCCTCACTCATCACTCCAACAGGAAGAAAGAAAAGCAGAGCCCTGTGAATGGTAGCATGTGAATATGGAAGTGAACTTGGGACTTTTTTCTTGCTGCTGTGAAGTGGCCACTGGGAACATCATTATGTGGTCTTTCGATCTCTCAAACACCCGTTGGCCCCAAATCCACCACTGTCCACTTTCAGCGACTTGCAGTACCTCACATCTAGGCTGATGGCCTCTAGCATATGCCTTCCTTGCCCGATTCGAATCTCTATCTGTTGGTCCTCCAAATATCATATGAATTACTCCCTTATTCGGAGGAAGTTCCTCCTTCTCTGGTGGTGACCTCGACCTCTTGTTTTTTTTCCTCTCTACATGTGCCTCTCTCCCTATTCTTGTATATGAATTCATTCAAATGTCCCGCTTTTGTAAGTCATTCTGTCTCATCTTTTAAATGCCTATAATCGTATGTGTTATGTCCGTAATCCTTGTGAAATCGACAGTACAAGTTGCTCTTGTGCTGGGTAGGCCCTTCCCTCTTTGTCCTTGATCATCTAATCACGTTCTCATGGATCTCTTTTTCCATAACTATTAATATCCTAGCATGGGGAGATGACAAGGGCGTGTACTGAACCGACCTCACCCCTCTGGGAGGTCGACCTTCCCACTTATCCGATCTTGGCGAACTTTCTGTCTCCTGAAGTGTGGGACATTTTATTTTCTTTTCCTCTCGCGCCTCAACTTTAGCCATCTTAGCTGCCTACAAAAAAGTAAGTCTCTGCTTCCTCTACATTCATATACTTTGTACACCTAGCCAAGACTTCATCGAAGGTACGACCAGGTCGTTTAGTTAAGGAATTTGTACATAGTTCCGGTCCTAACCCTCGAGTTAGTCCTCTTGACTGGATTCATTCTGACACCAAAGGAATGTCACGCATGCTCGAGTATATCGATCTACGTACTCCCGAAGTATTCTCCCTCTTTCTGCTGCATCCCGATCAAGGTGAGATAGGTCTTTTCATGCGCCTTGACACTTGTGAATTGATTGATGAAACTTTTGCTGAATCCTTCAAAGTCCTAAATAGCTCCAGGTAGCAGCTGATGAAACCAAACTTGCGCTGGCCCTTGCAAAGTGGGTAAGAAAGCTCTACACCGAATGGGATCACTGTATCGATGTAGTACTTCCATATTCTCAAAGCTCCTCAAATGTCTAGATGAGTCAGTGGATCTGTCATACCACAAATTGAGCTCCCTGAATTCCTGCGGTAAGTCGGCATCTAGTATGTGTAGGGCTGGTAATTTTGTACCGAAAACCGAAAACCGAAAACCGAATCGAACCAAACCGACAAGAAAAAAAACCGAACCGAACTAAACCGCTTGTAACGATAACCGAAAATCGGTTACTGAAATGTTATCGGTTCGGTATCGGTTTCGAAACCTTTAAGATTCGGTAAAACCGAACCGAACCGATAAGGATAAAAAAAATAAAAAATAATAAACTTAGTAAACTTATAGATATAGTTACAGATTACTTGTTTAGATATTGGTACTTTAATCTAGTATTTAATATTTTATTAGAGTATTCGTTAATAGTGATTACATTAGGCTCAGTTTTTTTTTTAATTTAATTCATTTTTTTTTAAATTATGTGAATTATAAACGGTCTTCGCTCATTAACCAAAAAAAGAAAAACAAATTGCCCTCACTCATCACTCCAACAGGAAGAAAGAAAAACAAAGCCCTGTGAATGGTAGCATGTGAATATGGAAGTGAACTTGGGACTTTTTTCTTGCTGCTTCTCCTTCTTCCTTCTACTTTGGCCTGCAGGTCGCGGACCTAGGCCATTAATTTTTCCAAAGCATCACCCTTGCCTGTGATTGATAGTTTTAACAGAGGACTCTTCATCATCTCCTCTTCTATTGTTGTGTTGCTCGTTCGACTGGGCATGTTGCTCCTGTTCAGGTTGAGGTACTTGTTCCTGTCGAGGTGGTTGCTCAAGTCGAGCTGCCACGCCCTCTGCAATAATCTTCTTCAGCTCAGCTCGAGTTAGTGTCACCGTCTGTTCCTCAAGTCAAAGCTGCTATGTTTGGGATCCTTTTCCTTCTCGCCTATGTGCTCCTTCAATTTTCTTCCCACTATCTCGAATTGCTTCCATCGATTCTTGTCCCCCAACTCTAGTGTTGGGGTGCAGTATCTGACTGGTTCCCTGTTGGGTTAATACCTGAATTTTTACCCCTGGCAGGGTAATTGCCGTCTACTCTTCCATATGCGCTCCTGGCGGTGCGTGTCCCCCGAACGGTGGTAAGATTCAACCTTATCCCTTATTCCTATTTGATCTTGGGTTATGATCTTCACTGAGAACATTTACCTCGAGCTGCGAGACAAATTAGGTCGTCTTTTAATATCTTGAGGATGGAATAATCCGATGTCCCTTTGCTCGAATTAAGTCCAAGTCGTCATCCTTCAGGTCGACATCGAGGCTCACAAGTCGTGTGCTGTCTTTGAGCTGTTGCAGACGAACCATCTCCCATGGCAGTCATCCTGCTTGTAGAATCTATTTCAAGTAGGTCGACTTATGATCTGGTCGAGCCCCAAACACTTAAGCCAGTATGCAAGTATGGCTATATCAATGTGTGTTGTGAAATAGAGGATAGTACTTACTCTACATTTTATTTGTTCCACATAATATTTAAGAATATATTTTAATACAATTCAATCTTATTGAAACAGTATGTATCTTAATTAATAATTTATTTTATTGATAAGTTAACATTTTATTTATCTATAAAATCTATTTTTATTTAGGTTTTATTTTTTAAAGAGTTTTGTTTGCGCTAGAATCATATTCTATAGATATATTTAATTGTGATTATAAATATTGAGATGCTTACAGTTTTGTCATTTATACAAAATCATTCTCTCTCTTATAACAGTTTAAGTTTAGATAGATTATAGAACACAATCATTCATAATTTTATAATAGTATAGATAGATATATATTTTCCAACCGCTTGAATGGTGAATTATTGGTCCAGAGTATTTCACTAGCAGGCAAGAGGCACAGTCCATTCTATTTTCCCGGAGATACAAATATCGTATGAAGTAATTTACAGGTAGATTTTTGGGTGAGAAAGAATACTGAAAGCATGTGAGTGATAGATAATTTATCATCACATGAGCGAGAAAAACATGCATCTCCATTCCTAAAAATATGTGGCAACCCACCCTTAATGTTTCACTTTCACACGCTTGTATTAATTCTCTGGTGTATAAATACCCTGTGGAAATATTATGTAAAAGCAGAGCAGGGGTCGTGGATATCTTTTGTAAAATAATAATCCGCAAAGGAAAATAGAGAAAAAAAAAATACAGGATTGTCTGTAATCTGTACAGAAAAAACATTAATCTATAGTTTCGTTTTTTCCTTTGCTAGATTTTGTGCATTATTTTATTCACGGCTCCCACATAGTCATAGTGAGTAATACAATACATCATATATATATATATATAAGTAAATAATATTAAGTAAAAAGATGGCGGTAGGAGGTATCGTTGATAACGTGGGCAGCAAAGACTACGAGGGCCGTGTGACGGCCTTCGTTGTCATAACTTGCGTGGTGGCCGCAACGGGTGGGCTGATTTTCGGATACGACATCGGTATCTCAGGAGGAGTGACGTCGATGGACGAATTCCTGGAGAAGTTCTTCCCATCCGTGTATGCCAAAGAGAAAGACGCGTCCGGACACGAGAGCCAATACTGCAAGTTCGAAAACCATCTCCTCACCCTCTTCACCTCATCCCTCTACCTGGCAGCCCTGGTGGCCTCCTTCCTCGCCTCGGCCACCACCCGTAAGTTTGGCCGCAAAATCTCCATGACCACTGGCGGCCTCGTTTTTCTTGTGGGCGCCGTCCTCAACGGCGCGGCCGCGAACATTGAGATGCTGATCATCGGCCGCCTTCTTCTGGGCGTCGGGGTCGGGTACGCCAACCAGTCCGTCCCCGTCTATCTATCCGAGATGGCTCCACCCAAACTGAGAGGAGCTCTCAACATCGGCTTCCAGATGGCCATCACAATCGGCATCTTCGCGGCCAACCTCGTCAACTACGGGACTGCCAATATGAAGGAGAACGGGTGGCGCGTGTCTCTCGCCCTGGCCGCCGCGCCCGCCCTCATCATGACAGTCGGCTCCGTCTTCCTCCCCGACACCCCCAACTCCTTGATCGAGAGGGGCCAGAGGGAGAACGCGCGCGAGATGCTCGAGAAGATTCGCGGCACTCCCAACGTGGACGACGAGTTTGCCGACCTCGTGGAGGCAAGCCAGGCCTCGCAGCAGGTCGACAGCCCGCTGAAGACGCTCCTCGAGAGAAAGTACCGGCCCCACCTCGTGATCACCGCCCTCATCCCGTTTTTCCAGCAGTTCACAGGGATCAACGTGATTATGTTCTACGCGCCCGTGCTCTTCAAGACGCTCGGATTCGGGGACGACGCCTCCCTCATGTCGGCAGTCGTGACGGGGCTCGTCAACGTGCTCGCCACGTTCGTGTCCATCTTCACGGTGGATAGGTTCGGGAGGAGGTTTCTATTCTTAGAGGGGGGGATACAGATGTTCGTCTGCCAGATCGGGGTGGGGGCGCTCGTGGCCTCCGTGTTTGGGGTCTCCGGCACCGGAAGCTTCAGCGCGGGGACGGGGAACCTCGCGCTGGCCCTCATCTGTGTCTATGTGGCGGCCTTCGCGTGGTCGTGGGGCCCGCTCGGGTGGCTAGTGCCAAGCGAAATCCACCCACTAGAAACCAGGTCCGCGGGACAGTCCATCAATGTTTCTGTTAATATGTTCTTTACCTTCATCATCGGCCAGCTCTTCCTCAACATGCTCTGCCACCTCAAGTTCGGACTCTTCTTCTTCTTCGCCGGATGGGTGGTCATGATGACCTCGTTTGTCTACTTCTTCGTGCCCGAGACTAAGAATGTGCCCATTGAGGAGATGAACAGAGTGTGGAAGAGCCACTGGTTCTGGGGCAAGTATATTCCCGATGATGCCGTCGGTCTGGCTCACCATAATAACACTGTTTGAGATCGCTCCATTACGCGTGCTTTTTCATATATGTATATAATATACATATACATATTAGTTTACAAACACTCGTCTTTTTGTAATGTAATGATCGTAAACAATATCTTATCTTTTATATAACAAAAATACTTTTGTATGTTAAATGTAAATTCAGATTTCCATATGGTATGTTTTTTGATATAATAAAAAAAGAAAAAAAAAATGTTTTGTAGAAAACTACTTCCAACCTTCTTTCAAATGATCAATATCTCGCATCACTTAGTGTGTATATTAAAAGCTCTGCTTTTTGTTGGCACATTCAAACGTAGAATCATGTTTAATTAAACAATTCTACGATATAAATGTAAAAACAGAATCATATTTAAGTAATTAAACAGTTATGTTTAATTAAATGCAACATTCAAATGTAAAAACAGAATCATATTTAATAAAAATTTAATTAAATGCAACATTCACGGACACGGCGAAGGAGTGGAACCATAATACTTTTGGTAATATCTTTAAAAAGAAACGTCGTTTGCTGGCTAGGATTGCTGGTGCACAACGAGCATTGCAGGACAGAGAATCTAATTGGTTGAGGAGTCTGGAATGGATTTAATTGCGGAACTGGAAGAGATTTCTATACAGGAGGAAATTTTATTAATCCAGAAAACTCATCGAGACTGGACTCTTTTCGGTGATAGGAACACTGCGTTTTATCACAAAATAATAAAGGCTCAGAGACGAAAAAATAAAATTCTTTGTTTATTGGATAATGATGGTACTTGGTGCTTTGATCAGGAGAAGTTACGTATCCTAGCAGTGAATTTCTTCAGGAATATTTATTCGGTTGGACAGCGGGGCTCATCCCTAGTTTCTATTCCGAATTTGTTCCCAGTAATTGATCAAAATCGGTTTGCAGCGATGCGAAGGGATATCTCTGATGCCGAAATATTCAATGCTCTTCAGTCTATGCCTCCTTTGAAATCTCCTGGAATCGACGGACTTCACGCTATTTTTTATCAAAAGCAATGGCATCATGTAGGCCCATCGGTTTGTCAGTTAATTAGAAGTATTTTGAGGGATGGATGTATGCCGCCGGACGTGAATAAAACTCTTATAGTACTGATCCCGAAAGTGGAAGAGCCTCAGACAATTAAACACTTCAGGCCAATTAGTCTCTTGAACGTTATTTATAAGCTGACTACAAAGGTGCTTGCGAACCGCATGAAACCACTCTTACCGTCACTTGTGGGTCCTAATCAATCAAGTTTTGTTGGAGGACGACATATTTCTGATAATGTGGTGGTGGCGCAAGAACTAGTCCATTCAATGAGAACAAAAACAGGGGGCACTGGATATATGTTGGTGAAGGTGGACCTTGAGAAAGCTTACGACTATCTTCACTGGGAATTTGTTAAAGACACGTGTTTCCCGGAGTCCTTTACCAGCGGCGTGATGACGTGTATTACTCCGGCTACTATGCAATTGCAATTCAATGGGACTACTTCTGATGTTTTTGTCCCGTCTAGAGGGATACGCCAAGGCGATCCAATATCGCCTTATCTATTTGTGTTATGTATGGAGAGGTTAGCTCATCTCATTCAGCAGAAATTGGAGGAAGGATTATGGCGGCCTATCACAATTAGTCGCGGTGCGATTAAAATACCATATCTTCTTTTTGCTGATGATTTATTGCTTTTCATGGAGGCTGATAATGATCAGGCATATTTACTTAACTCTGTATTGACTGAATTTTGTGATAAGTCTGGCTTAAAAGTGAGCGCTTCTAAAACTAGTATTTTTTCTCTAAAAATGTTGATATGGTTCGTCGTAATCAGCTCGCACAACAAACAGGTTTTGTGATGGTGGAAAATTTGGGCAAATATCTAGGAATGCCTATTATACACGGTCGGGTGACAAAACACACATATGAAGGCATTCTAGAGAAGGCGGAAAATAAGTTGAGCGGCTGGAAAGCCTCATCTTTGTCTTTAGCAGGGCGTGTCACTTTGGCTCAGTCTGTCGTGAGTTGTTTGCCTTTTTACTCAATGCAAACAGCTTGGCTTCCTACGGCGGTTTGTGAAGGACTGGAAAAGCATTGTCGAAATTTTATATGGGGTGGGACAGAAACAAGACGTGCGGTGAATCTTGTCAATTGGGAAGCGGTGTGTAAACCAAAAGAGCACGGGGGCTTGGGATTGAAAAATCAAAGGCGTATGAATATAGCCTTGCTTATGAAACTAGCATGGGGTTTGTTGACTAATCCGGAAGCACTGTGGGTACAAGTTTTGTGTGCGAAATACAGATTGAATCCCCGAAAAATGAACCGTGATTTTAAATTCCCAAAAGGATCTGTGGTTATCAGGGCTATATCGAAGGTATGGCAACATGTCTGGAAAGGAGCTAGATGGTCTTTAGGCGATGGCAAACAAACGCGATTTTGGTGGGACAATTGGGCTAATTGTTCAGAGCCGTTGATTCAGCGCGTTACTGGGACTGTACCGCAGGACCAAATGTCATGGTCAGTGGACCGTTATGTGGGGAATTCCGGGCGGTGGGCATGGCATCTCTTTGCCCATCTATTACCGGCCTCATCTTTAATGCGGATAGCAGCTATTCTACCGCCAACTGAAGCAGCTGGGAACGATCAAATATACTGGGGATTATCGGAGCACGGCCGTTTTACCACTCGCTCGGCATATGTTGCATTATCTCGTGAGGAAGCCAATGACCGTCGATTATGGAAGATTATTTGGAAATGGGTTGGGCCGCAGCGTATTAGGCAGTTTTTGTGGTTAGTAGGGAAAGAGAGACTGCTCACAAATGTTGAGAGACAAAGGAGGTATCTAGCAGAAAGTCCTTATTGTCAGTTGTGTGGGAATTTTCCGGAGTCAATAATACATGCTTTGCGGGACTGTGAGGGTGCATCACGAATATGGAGGAGCTTGATTCCGCAAATGTTTTGGCCGAATGTCTTCACAATGGAGTTGGGCACATGGTTGGAAATTAATTTGGTGAATGGCCTGCGGATTCCCATTGAGGATTGGGAATGTATTTTCGGGGTATCTCTTTGGCGCATTTGGAATGGCAGGAACGTAACTATTTTTACTGGTGCTATTTTTTCAGTTGATGGGAAGATTCATGAAAGTTCAAAATCATGTTAGTAGGTATAAAGCAGCAGAGAATTCGATGACACGTTTGGGCATGCATGACTTGAGCAGAGTTAGCAGATGGATTAGGTGGGAGGAGCCTCCTTTGGGTTGGATTAAATTAAACTCCGATGGTCCTTTTAATCCTGAATCAGGGATGGCTAGTGCAGGCGGTCTTCTTAGGAATTGCAATGGCATTTTTCTTGGTGGTTTTGTAATGAATATTGGTTTCACCACCATCATGGGAGCGGAGTTGTGGGGATTGTTCCAGGGCCTTCAATTGGCTTGGGATCTTGGTTATCGGCAAGTGATGGCTAATGTTGATAGCAAGAGTGTGGTGGATTTGATTTTGGGCCACGAAACCTTTATGGGAGTGCATGGGAGTCTAGTACGGGCTATCCGGGATATGATGAGATGGAATTGGAGAGTGGAGTTGCGACATGTATTTAGAGAATCTAACTTCTCGGCGGATTTTTTGGCTTCTTTGGCCACAACTTCTCCAGGAGGCCTTCAACGTTTCGAAGTTCCACCGGTTGGTTTAAGACCTTGGTTAGATCATGATATGTTTGGTGTAGCCTACTCTCGTAGAGTAGCGACGTAGTTCCCGGTGTTTTCCCTCTTTGTAACAAAAAAAAAAAAACCAGTTATGTTTAATTAAATGCAACATACAACTATTGACCCTCTACCGATCATGTAGAGTGTATTTGACGAATACCAAGTTAATAGCTTATTAATTTAGTTTATAAATTTTTATTATTTTGGTGTGACACGATAAGCTTTTATAAACATTGAGTCTCATAAATTTTATTATGTAACGTTTCAAAAAGACCCGTTCGAATTTAATGAGGCCTATTCGAATTATTATATAGTTGACTTATCAACTAATTCTACCAAACTTTATCATATTTGCTATTTTTTTAACCATCAACGAAAAGCTCGTAATTAACTTATGAGCTATCAATTAATTTATCAGCTATCAATTAGTTTTTCATGAGTTTTACCAAACATACCCATAAAATCAATTAAACTTGGCAAAACAAATGATTGTATACAAAATGGAACAGAAGATCACATTAACTTCATATCTCACGGTACGGAGTATCCAGCGCCCAATACATTGTTTCACTGCCACAAAATTCACCCTTCTAACACAAAATAGCCACTAATTATTACCAATGAATTACGAGTAGTTACTGTGCGGAAGTCAAGTGCTTCAATTTTGCTTGTAGAACCGCCCCAGCCTCATCAGCTATACTTTTCTTCTTCGCAGCCACCTGCACATACAATTACCATTGGCATATTTTGATCTTTCTCGTCCAAAACGCCCCTACCCCCAAATCCTTTCACGAAAGTGTGTTACCGACAATTTCGTAATAATAAATTATATAATGTTCTTTTTTCCAGACAGTTTTCATAATACTAGCAAGCAATGTGTAGCTTGTTGATATCTTCCAATACGGCTTTTGGTTGCCTATACGGTTCTGTCCAAACTATTACGCCTGGATAGCCTAAACGGTTCTGTCCAATTTCATTTTACAAAAATACTCTTGTAACTTAAGGAAAAGGAATTCATAGGTTAAGACAACCTGCGAGCCAAACATGTTTGGGGCTTTGTGGAGGTTTTGCTTACAGACCCATTTTATGTTTATTTCCTTTCAATAGTTACAATGGTCACATCCAAAGTTATTACCTGTAGGTAATCGAAGTAAGAGTGTAGCAAACTATAAGTATATAAATATTGTAAAACAATTCTCTTTTTCCCTTCTTTTCCCCTATCTATCTTCTTCACTCTATCTTCTTCATATGTCTGACTCAAAAGAGTAGGAAATTTGTGAAGTATGTTAACCAATTTTCTAAACTAAATTATTTTAATTAATTTCTTTTTCCTTTCTGATTATTTTAATTAATTTATGATTTATAGTTTTACCAGTATTAGTTTTGACACAAACATATACGTATGGGTCGACCGACCCATCACACTTTATGATAAAAAATGCATGCATACTTATATTCACATATGTCATGTTTTTGCAAATCTTGTTTTTTCAAGCATGCCATGTGTATGAAAGTAAGCATATAATTGTCTAACGGTTACTCCTGTTGTTCCTAGTAGTTTTGAGTCGATTTTAATGTTCTCCTAGTTAATATCTAGTAATTTTGTAGCTAATGATAGCTATCGCTACAAAATATTAGTGCACAATTTTCTGAGAATTAAAAAGGAAATATTTCTTGTCCCAAGAATCAGTTTATCATATTGACATTTATTATTTTATTCATTTTTTTTTTTTTTTTTATCATAAGGTGTTGGCAAAACTGATCAAGAAGTTGACTAGTATGGCTACCCTCCACAGCTACAGGATCAATATTGCAATATAAATCAGCCATGACATAGATGTATCTCAGCACACAGCTGGAGATTAGTCAAACCACGTGTTAGATCCCCGCCACCTTTTCAATTCCCAGCAGGAGCTTTCCTCAAGCCATCGACTTTCTAGCAGTTGCAGGACAAGCAAACTACAAGTGTTTATTCTGCTAATTCCACATAGCAATGGGATAGTTTTGCATTCCCCCCAGACGAGTGCAAAAATTTCTAATTTTCTACTGCCCTAGACATGCAGTATTTCGAGAATAACAAAAATGTTCTCTAAGTTCATCCATTTTTGTCTAATTCTTCAAGGTAACTCTAGCATAAAGTACTGATGTTGAAGGGTAAAGGAACCAAGGAACAAAGATTTTACTACCTAAGGGCTAAGAAGATGCAATAAACGATTCAAACCACTTCTATCATCTAGTAGTGTTTGTGCGCTTATGTAATTTCTACGGGGTATTGCGCCAGTTTCTCTTAATATTTGCCCGTATTATATAAATAAAGTAAATAAAGACGGTAACTTATAAATGTTTTGCACATTCTAAAGGCTATCAAAACTAACTTAACATGGCATTACCCATGCAAAACCTAAGTACAAGAAATAAAAATGATAGACCAGAATACCAAAAGCATTTTTTTTCTTTTGAATTCTTACTAATCAGAACTCTAAGGGCAAAAAACCTTCCAAGAAAAAACAAAAGACAGAGATTGGGTATTTGTAAACATCTGAAAAGGTGCAACTATTTGACGAACCATACCTCAAGAAGTTGATCATAATTGGACTGGAGCAATGAAATTTTACGCTCACAATAATCTTTACCTTCTGTCATATTTTTCTGGTAAGAGAAGAAAACAGAAGTTAAATTAGAGCTGGCATTGGTTACCCAAAAATGATAAACCAAAAAAAGAAAAAAGAAAAAAGAAGAAAGAAAAAAGAGAAAGAAACCAACAACTTGTTGAGTGTGCTACCTTGTTAAAGCAAGGGAATGTAGCATACACGTAGGCACGTCAAACACTTCCATTTTTTATTCCAATATACATTACCATTAAGTCAAAAAATACTGGAAAGACCTAAACTATAGGATGGTTTGGAAAATTTCAGAACTTTGTGTCATTAGAATGTCCTATCGAACATAAATATAAATACATTCAAGCGTAATAAAGAAAAGGAATTGTTACTTCAAGGTAATATCCCAACTACAGTAGTAGCATGACCATACATGTCCATCATTCCAAATACTTCCCAACACTCAGACTACTTGAAAGCAAGACTGCCCAATTATATTTCCCAAACCATAATAAATTAATGTTCTGAATAGCTTTGTAAAGGAAGCACTTTAAACCAATATAAGCATTCTTATCATGCGAGAGCGAGCACTAGTGTCCGAGCAAAGTTTTGAGCCAAATATATTACAATTTTTCAGAGAGTAAATGAGGAAGAAGGCATATTTGGTCGGGGCACCACTAACAGGGGTTTAAGAATGGGTACTGATTCTTGGTGGGCGGCATAAATCTTCTCTCTCTTCTTTTACAAAAAATTAAATAATATTTATATATATATATATATATTATATTAATTGAAAATTATTGCATAAGTGTGTATGCGTAGTATTAAAAAGAAACAGAAAGTCATAAGTGGTGGTTGGTGGATGAGATATCGAACACAACCATATGTAGTCTTGTCTATAATTTCACAGTGCTAGTCTACACCCGATTCTAGTGAAACCTCACAGAAATAAGGAATTAAACCTTTTATGCTCCAGCTATTACTCATTAAGCTAGCCCGAACATAATTTCATTCACACAATCCAAAATGCAACTTCATGTTTGAAATTATCATTATTATTACATCTCCCCCAACAATAAAGAAACAATAGGGACACAATTTCTTCACAAAGTCCCTCATTTACCCTCCAAATACCACCTATATTATCCATAAAGAGATCAAGGCAACTGAAGAATCATCCAGACAAAAACCAAGATCCCTCTTTTCACAAGTCCCCTATACCAAAACATACTCTGGCATCCTAGAAAAATAAAACCTATTAACTAAAGGGCTGAACTGCAACACGTTTGATTTCAACCCATGAAAACAATACATCAGTTTAGCTGTAACACAAAATAGAAAAAACTATATCAGTAAATAAAAAGTTATAAAGACAAAGGAGGAGGCTATTGATGGGCCATCTCCCATGACACTAAAATTTGGGAAATCGATAGTTGCACCTTTTTTCCAAATATGCCACCCTTGTCATTTTATCATTCATTGTTTTGGAGTTTTCGTGAGACTTGACGTTGCCAGGGGAATTGAAAAGAAAATAAAGGAGCAATAATCCATCGTGAAAGAGAATGAGGGTGATGTTATTGGGAGGAGAAAGTAGAGGTGATCTTTGTTTTTTTCCAAATCTACGAATTAACAACCTAAGATTTTTTTCTCCCGGTCCCCGTATTGACAAAAAATACTAAAACCAAACAACTCAGAAAATACTAAAACCAAACAACACTAACAAGAATATTTCGCAGGAAATTCAGAAAAATCAACCGACCTCAATGAAATAGCCAGTGCCCACATCGACCAAGACTTTCTCCGAGTCGTCCAGCATACCCGGCACATAAAGCGACGCTGTTAATGGCACCAGCATTTTCTTCCCTGATTCAATCGAGAGGGAAGAAAAAAAAAACAGAAAGGGAAATAAGAAGCTATCAGAAACCAGAATTTTGTGAAAATATAAATCAAAAATAAAATGATGACAGAAGACAAGGTGCAAGGGTAGGTAGTGGGACGACCTTGAGGGCGGAGGGAGAGGTCGTGAAGGGCGGCGGATGCGAGCTCAAGGCGGGCAGTGGCAGTGCGAATGTTGTTGAGGCTGTCCTGAAACAGATTTACCTCCAGATCGGCTTGCTCTTTCAATCCCTTCAATTGCTCGATCGGCATCTTTTCTATCTCTACTCGAGCTGACGCCGCCGCCATAGCTTGCCAAGTTAATTTCTCCCAAATCTTCGCTTTAGCGCTTCAAATTTCAGACTTATTAGGGTATTTGGTTCAAGTAAAGTAGGGAAAAGGAAGGGGAGGGATTGTAATAGAAGAGAAGTGAGGGGAGGGGAGGTTATAATTTTATTTTGTTTGGAGAGATTTATCCGTTATTCTCTCTTAGCCTACGTGACAAATTCTCATGTTTTATAATTTTATTTGGCAAAAAATCATGCTTTGAAGTTAGGTTTGGATATAAATTAATATTTGTATGTATTTTAATATCATTTCCAATTATAACCATTGCAAATAGATTTTAAAAGTTAATAACTTTTGTATTTTTTATCGGGTTTTACATATATAATATATCAAATGAATCATATATAACACATATAAGTCGCACAAGTAACATGTGTCTTAAAATATATAATAATATATACTCCCTCCTATTTTTATTACTTGTTATGAGAATATATATAACGAATGCACAAATGTGTAAAGATACAACTTGGAGCGCAGCCCAATGCTGAATAAAATGGGAGTACAGGTCTGACGACCGCTTAGAAGCCCGACACTAACAAATACTAGAAACCAAAACAAGACTCTCGAGGCAACTACACAATAGCATAAAGAAAACTACAACGAAAAGCTCCCAACAGGAGAATAGAAACAGGAGCTGGTCCCCACAGGACAATAAATTGCTCCACTCAAACTGAGGCCAACGGCCCATACCTAAAATACAGAACATAAGCACACAGGCAAAGTGCCCAAACCAAAAATACAAAACTACCACATAAAACGACAAACACAAAACAACAAGAGGGAAAAGAAGCCCTTCCACAGCAAATCAACCGGACCAAACCAGCAGAGAACAGTCGATACCAGCGAATAATCCAAGTTCAGGGACCACTTCCGAAACTGCCACAAAGTCTATACAAAAGCCAAACCCGAACATGAACTAAGCTCCTAAAAACGACCCGCCACCAACCGGAGGAACAAAAGCGAAACCAACCCCCACACCAGCTCCAACCAAACCCTTCTAACACCACTAGTCGAGCTCGAGAGGAACCGATCCCCCGCCGTCTAACACAACTAGTCGGACGGAGAAACAGTGAGGGTGGTTCGGCCACTGGTCGTCGGCCTCCCCGACATTGAAAACGCCTCGGCATCCAGAGTAGCGCCCCACCCATAGCAACACACCTCCGCCCACAATAACCACAAACCCACCATCAGAGCCCGAATATCCCGTCGGAAAGCCGAAGCCCACCAATAGGATCCCCAGCAACCCCAATCTCAACCCAACACAGCCAATAGACGGAAACTTACCTCAGAGGCCGCCCAAGAATCCGGAGAAGATCGCAATCAAGGATTCCAAGTTGGAGCGGCAAAGTCCCAAGCTCTGACCGCCACAACCAAATTCGTCGTAACCGCGAGGGCCCCGACCCATCCACAGACCCTCGTCCCTCCCGACACCACCACTGACCACAGGATCCGCAACCAGCCAACAAGACCCCGCCGGAATAACAAATCGTCAGTGGGAGAGCCGCGTTGATCCAGCAGCCTTCGGCCGCATCGGAGAGAAACAACATCCGGGAGGGCTGAGGAGTTGAAGATGACCGCAGGCCCGAGTCCGCCGCCGCTAAGGAAGGTCGAACGATGGAGATTTAGAGCAGCGACGCCGGGATTTTGACGGGAGAGAAAAGGGGATTTTTTGATATTTTTATTACATCTAATTAAGTAAAAAAAATAATCTATTTTGCTTAATATTAAAAAACATATTCTACACTTATGCATATACATATCACCATATTATTTCTATTTATTTAAGATGTATATTTTTATACTTATGTTATAGTAAGTAATATCGATATTTTGATATGATATAAGTAAAAAAATTCAACACGGGTGACATTTTCATTTAATGTACGGTTGTTTAATTATTATGATTAAAAAAATATATTTTGAAAATTTAATTAAAATCAAAAGTTATGTTTTATATAAAAGTAAATTATTTTAGTTTTAAAAAAAATAAAAAATTTAATATTTTTTACAAAAGCTTTCTAATTCAACACCCGTGTAATATACGAGTATTGTACTAGTATATATTAATTCAGAACATGCTGAGCTTAAGTGGCAGGCTCGCATGCTTCGGGATCCTATGTGGCAAAATTACATGTTTCGTTGCTTGGGTAGATTTTAATTCACTTCTAATATAAGAATAATTAGGTTCGGACTATCCATAAATATGTTGATTATTTATGTTCATGTACATGTATTAATTGCATATTAATATCATTTCTTATTATAACCATTAAATTGTAAATATATTTTAAAAGTTAATAACTTTTGTATTTTTTATCAGTTTTACATATATAATATATCAAATTAATTATCTCTTGATGAGCTTCGATTGAACATCCATATTGTATGTATAAAAAAAAATAAATTATATTTATCTTTATAAAAATAATAAAATTATTTTTAATATTAATTAGAAAAATAAAATTATTTATCAATTAATATATATATATATATATATATATTTCAAGTAGTTATATGATATAAGTTATAAAAATTACTATAATATAACACATGTAACTCGCACAAGTAACAAGTGTCATTTTAAAATATATAATAATATATATTTTGGTAAAAACTAAATAAAATTTAAAATAATTTTTTCTCATTAATTTTAAAATTTAAGAATAATTTTTTAACAAGCACCAGTGTAATACACGGGTGTTGTACTAGTATATATTGAAAGAGGAGGATAAATAAATTATTTGTGGAAAGTTGATAAAATATTTGGGTCAAATCCTTTGACTTAACACTTATAGAAAATCAGTTTAAAATTCAAACTTTGCATTTGTTGTACAGTTCACGCATGTAAATAAATCTGTTTTGGAAATAAATTGAGATTTCTATATTTTATTGGCATGCCCTTTTGAAGTAAATCTACTTTGTAAATTTAAATATATTTGTGGCTAATATTTTTATTTGGAATGAATTCTGGCATATAATATTGTTTAGAAATTTAATTTTATGTTTATCGAGAGTTCACAATTGTCTTTCTTAATGTTTTTTACGAAATCAATATTCATTTTCGATTAAGAAAAATATATAGTTTTTTTAAATCTCACTTTTTATGAAGACATTATTTAAAAATCAGATTTTAACAGAAATATTATTTATTTAATTTCTATATACGATTTTGTTATGTTCGATTTTGCTAATCGGAAATTGCATTGAAATATTCTTTACAAAAATTGTCATAATTAATAATTGCTCTCAATTATGTAATTAGTATATAATCGAACTTTCTGGTTTAATTAAATAATTTTGAATCTTTTGAAATATGATTTTAAACGTGCAGAGTCCTAAATATGCATATGCATAATCAAATATGTAAATTTAAGGGCAATACATAAAAATTCTTTAACTAATAAACAATGTGCATATCGATATCATTGATATTCTTTATTTGATAAACAAATAAATATCAAATGCTTTGTTGACACTAAATTCGAATTCTGCAAATTAAAGGCACCTCGAGAAGGTTAATGAAGATTGTTAGAGCTAAACATTGAAGTGCCGAATCGTGAGGAGTTGTTCCCAGGGTCATCTCGGTATTGGGTCGACATCTCGGTGTAAGTAGCTCGCCAAAGGGTCATAGAGAATAAAGACCTCGCGAAGGAACCGAAGTCACAAAGGTCCAACTTCAGTCCGACAAAAGGGGACCTCTGTCAATCAATTGATGGGCTGCCCATACCCTCATCATTGCCTACATGCCAGCTTACATTATAGCCGCCCATATGGTGTCACTTCGCATTTAATGCCGCCGCATCTCCTCAAAAGGCGTGCAGAATGTTACTATAAATAGCTGCATTTAATTCGATACGAGGATTCCGATTCGGATACATTAAATTCTAACATTAAACATCTCAGTTCTCCACGAGTCCGACCTCCTGTACTGCAAAAACCGACTTCTTCAATACTGTTAACGACTTCAAAAAACTCAATAAAAATTCTACTTTCCGCTATATTTGTCATTTTTACACCTTAATTACGTTGTTAAATTCCGTTTATCAACATTTTGGCGCTAGAAGGAGGGTTTCATAAGATATTTGGAGTTAATTTTCGAAACTAATAAACACCACATCTCAACTTAAACCGTTAGTTTCGACTTAGAACATGTCTCAATCCGGGCAAGACGATCAGACGACCCGGGGAAGCGCCAACCGCATCCCCGAGCAATCCGCCAGCCGCAACAACGCGGTACCCACAATGCCGGATTTAACCACACTCATGAAAAACCCGGAATTCGCCTGGGGGTTTGCCGCCTTGTTGGCCCAAACCATGCCGGGGCCTTCGAGAAGGATGCATGGACAGTCCCTCGCCTCGATAACGTCGGTGAGGCAACGAGTCCCACAGATGCAAGGACGTGACAACAACCGTGCCGCGTCACATGCAACGTTGCAGCCACGCGACAACAACCCACAAGCCCCGCCGGCAGGTAACGTAGTCCCGTCGGAGATGAACCTGCAGGAGATGACTGCGGAGAGCCACTCCGGACACGCTCAAAGAGCTCCACCCGCAGCTCGGCCGTTGTTTCAGCAACCTAGGAATCCAGCCGACCTGCGACACCAAATCGAAAGAAATCGGTATGCTAGATGCGACACCTCCGAAGTGGAGGTGTTAAGAAGAAAAGTTGCGGAGCTGGAGGCCCGAAGTACCACTCAAGTCAGGCTTCCTCTACACTCCCGCATGTCCGAGCCCGGCTATGTATATGTAGAAATTGATTCCCCACTGGCACCCGAGCTGACTAGGGGTCCATTGCCAGGAAAGATCAAAGTTCAACAGATCGGACTCTATGACGGAACCTCCGACCCCGACGCTCACCTCGGTCATTACATGTCATGGATAGACTTACACGGCGCCGACGACGCCCTGAGGTGCCGTATGTTCTCCCTGACCTTGGGCCCTAAAGCCAAGAAGTGGTACTATTCGCTACCAGCCGAGTCGATCCGATATTGGTACCAACTTAGGTCGGCTTTCAGGTCTCACTTCATTGGGGCCCAAGTGTTTAATCCTGAAATAATCGATCACCAACATCGTCCAGCGGGAGGACGAAAGCTTGAAGGACTATGTCGCACGTTCTAATGAGTGTGTGCAGAATATGGAACCCTGCCACCCAGAGACACTCCTCGTCTCGGCGATATTAGGCCTCAAACCGAAGTCAATGTTCCGTTGGGCACTCTGTCAGAACAAACCCAGCACCTTCCAAGAGTTCCTCGCCCGAGCTCAACAACACATTATCGCTGAGGAGTCCATGTCGGTACCTGACCTTGAATTCATGTCATCGAAAGGTCAGAAACCGACTTTTGAGAACAAGAAGAAGAAAAAGCACTTCGGTAGCTCCTCGAAGAATCCACAATTCAGGGAGCCATTCAAAAGCGACCTCAGTGACCCGGAAGTAAAGGCAACCAGAAGGCAGTTCAAGGAAGATCTGACCTCGGGTTACCAATCAATCTACTCGGTCGGGGCCACGGGCGGTCTATCAAGAGATCAAAGGGAAAGGGATCATTTTCGAAGCCCGACCTGTAAAGACCCAGAAAGTCAACTAGATAAATCTCGGTACTGCGATTATCATAAATCGTCGGGCCACAACACTGACGAGTGCCTCAGCCTGCTGTCAGCGCTCATGAAACTCATCAAAAACCCTCAGATGAAGAGATTTACCAAACCAAACGAAGGGAAAGAAAGGCGACAGATGGACCATATTCCCGACGGGGACGAAGAAGACGAGAGGGCTATGAATGCGAAGAGAATCGGATTGCAGCAAGGGGACAAGGAAATCCTTATGTTTGGGCCGATTGGTCCCACATCCGCTGAGGACTGACTTGGGAAGAGAAGTAGGGAATTCAAAAATCCCGACAGTGTCGCCCGAACTCCTCAAAGTTCACCTCGGGTAGGCTCTGTTCCTCGAGTTAACACCAACTGAGAAGAGCTGACTTCCTCATGGCGGCAGACCAAAGCATACGCTAGAAAGGCATATAACTCAGGAAAGCAGATAATGACTACCGACCTGAGAGAAAAGATCAATTCCCGCACCTGCCCAATCACATTCACCTTGGAAGATGCAAGTCTGTTCGACCACCCCCATTCCGGTGCATTACTCATCACAGCGCCAATCTGCGGAATTCCCGTCAACCGATAATGGTTGATACTGGTGCATACTCAAGCATCCTTATGCTCCAAGCTTTCAAGAAGCTTGGACTTGACCCTACCGACGTCCGTCCATGCAATGACAAAGTCCACGGGTTCAATAGGAGTGTATCACTTCCGCTGGGTGAGATCACCCTCCCCATCAGGTTCGAGGGCCACGGGCAAACTTCCAAGGTCATAATGAAGACCTTTAAGATCATGGACATAGATAACGAGTACAACGCCATCGTTGGGAGGACGGCCCTATACAGGCTGCGGGCGGCCGTTTCTATTTTCCACTACGCAATCAAGATCCGACTGCCGATGGCGAGGGTACCCATTACGGGGATCAACGGGAAGCTCGGGAGCTGATACTGGCGGTTCCTTCTCGAAAAGTCCACACGATTGAAATTTCCAACAACGAAAAATGGAAAG